TAATTCAGAGAACTAAACTTTTACCAAAAACAAACTATAACCGAGGGGAGATTTAAGTGTACCGTTTCTCCTGGCTCAAGGACATTAGCAATGCGCCTTTTTATCATTCCAATGTCTTCTGAGGAAAGATCATGACCTGCATCTTCATTGTTATCTTCTTCGTCATCTTCATTCTCAATATCATTTGTTGCTGAGGCCACTCGAGAATATTTTGGATTTGCTTCAATACTATCAAGCCATGCATCCTGGAAAAGATAACATGGAAGTGAGTTGCAATGAGATTGGTTCTAAATTTAAAAGATCAACAAGAAGATTGATGCAACAACTTACTTTAATTTCATTTTCATTGACATATTCAATGAAATTCCCCTCTGCGTCAAAGTACCCTTCTTCCCTCTCTTTGTTTAGGTTGAATGGTTCTATGTTTATCCCATCTTCAATCAAATTCTCATTATCCTGTCATAAAAAGTTCCTACCATTACTATCCTTCTGATGAATCTGACAAGTCTCTTCCATTTCCAGCAAATGGGCACACTAAAATGCAAGTGCTTTGGAAAAAAGAATCTCAATGTAGATAAGTATGCATTACAGATTCTAAAGTAGGGTAACCTCACAACTTCTTTCGAGAAAACAATAGAAATAAAATTGATAAATTTTCAAGATAACGTTGTGCATGAACTGTTGGATCTCTGATTTGGACACTTCAAGGCTGGACAACATTTGAGTTTCGGGTCATTCAAGTTTGCACAACTTCAGACTCAAAATATTATCATTCAATTAGGACCAGGCCAAGTTTTGGATAGCTGTGGTCAATATTTTGTCACTAACCACAGAACACTTACAGCTAAATAAAATTATATGTTCCTTAATGGCTTAGAGAAAAGGTAACATTTATCTCCTAGGGAAAAAAAAAAAAGGTTACAAGCTAGGAGAGGGCAATAAGAAGATGGCAACATCCTTGTGAATACAATAATTCTTGTTTCCTTCTCAAAAAATACAGAAAGAAAGAAAGAAACGGAGAGCGGAAATGGGGTCACACCCAAAACCATGAGAGAAAAACAATGTTCAAGAAAGAAATATGCATTTGAAAATAAACCTCATAAGTCACTTCAGCAGCTGAGACATCATTGAGGCCTTTACTTTCTTCACAGAAAAGTTCAGTAGTCATCTGACTCCGGCGCTTTGCACGCTCTTTGGCAGCAAGACGTGGATCCTTCAAGTCTGCTGGGTCATCTTCAGTATTTCCCTTGCCCACCACTACATTTTCTGCCTTCACCTTTTTACCCTTGGGAAATCGAACTTTCTTCTGTCTGTCAAATTTGATATTGAAAACTAAGCAAAGCCCGAGACAAGTATACAACACATAATTGCAAGTAAATTTTTTTTTGAAATATAATTGCAAGTAAATGATGTACACAAATGAATATGATACAAAATCTCCAGCACCAGTACCTACACACCGGATCATTATCATTTGTTAAGTAATTCATTTAATTAAAAATATAATTTAGATTTCTCATCTTGTGATGCATTGCCATTGAAGCCACAAAGTGTAGTGGGCACCGTAGCCGATCTCTAAAGAAAGATATTATCTATCTATCAGTTTGCATGTGTGCGTATAACATGACAAATCACTGACAAAAGTTTCCACAATCCTATATTAATTTTAATGGAACGGTTGCGATGATTAGCTGAAAGAAAGAATTGCATAAAATAACTTATTAATGAAAAATGAAAGGATACAACAGATGAATGGGTGTGCTAATGACAAGATTTTGCATCTTTAATCCACATGGATAAATTAAAATGAGAGGTATCATGTTCTAAGAAAGAAGGAAACAAATAATTTGGTAAATTAACACAAATAAACCATCCGTTATATTATCCCGCCATAGACAACATAAAGCACATAAAGCACATAAAGAAAGCAGTAGTGGGAAGAAAGCGGTCTTACGCAGGAGGTTTATTGGAGTCATCGTCTTCCAAGAATGGCCGCTTAAGATTAGAGCGCAATTTCTCCCCCATTGAACTCGAAGTAAAGTAACTTTAACAAATGGAAAGGTTTTCGCAGTCTACACCCTAGAAATTCCTGCTAAAAGAACTCTAAACTCTCTCTTTTTTTCCTCTAATTTGATCCCATCAAAGAAGCCCTAAAGAAACAGACGAGACGAGGGACCTGGAAGATTGAAAAACCAAGCAGATAAGAATTAGAGAATACGGAGGCTCGATTTTTCTCGTATGAACCGGCGAGGGGAGCAGAACAGCTCCTCGGCCAGGCTGGGCCGGATTTGGCCGGAGCCAGCTTTTTTAATAGTCGGGCTCAGCCCGATTCGGTAGTTTGTGTTTGACTTTTTTGCCAAGTAATTTTTTTAAAACATTTTTGAAGCCCGATCGGAGAACCTTAATTTTTTTTTTTAAAGACAAATATTTAATTAGTTTCCAAATTATGAAAAATATTATATTTTAATTTTAAATACATTTTATTATAATTTAATTCTCGATTACAATTATAACCAATCTTAAATATTAAATGGAGAAAGAGTTTTTTTGTTTAAAACTGTCAATGGGCCTGAAATTAGGCCCAAATACGCAAATATTGCAGGTTGCTCGCCTTTCGATTATCTGGAGAGGTGTTTATATGGCACTTTGCAGAACCCATGGCTGGCTGTACTATGACCGTTAACTTCTTCACTTCGCTTCACTTCGCTTCACTTCCATCCATTTTTACCCAAAACCAAACAGAATCCCAAAACTATGCTCACATAAAGCTCCCCACTCAACCTTAAAATCCCCATGGCTTCCATTTCTAAACCACCGCCTTGTTTCCATCCTTTCTCTGCCCGTATCTCGTTCACTGCTTCTCCGCTTACCTTATCGTTTCCCCACTGTCACTGGAAAACGCCCCCGCTTCAGCTTCGTGCTTGCGCCATAAGAACCGGTTCCGGCGGTAATAGAATTGGAAGCTTGGAATCTTCAGGCTCTGATTTGCTTAGGAAGCCCAGTATACTGCCGGACAAGGACCCCGGTGGAGTTTCAGAAGAAAAAGAAGAAGACGTGCAAAGGAACGCAAGTTATAAGGAGGAGGCTGAAGTGGACGAATGGGTCGATTGGGAGGACCAAATTCTTGAGGACACTGTTCCGCTCGTTGGCTTCGTTAGGATGATTCTTCACTCTGGCAAGTATGTAACGCCATATTTAGGCTCTTCTCTGTTCCTTCGTTTTTTTCTTTCCTCAATTTACGTGTTGAAATTGAATTATTTTGTTCAGTTTCGTGAATCAACAAAATGTGGAAATAATTTGAGCAAGTTTATGATTAGGGCTTTAGACCGGAATTATCATATCTGCAATCATAATGATTAGCAATTGCGGCTATACTGATTTTTTTTTAAACGCGCTAACTAATTGAAAGTATTTCTCAATAGACCGTAACCAATTGAGAGTATTACTCCTGGTTCTGTCTATCACTAGACAAGTTATGGTTTTCTGGCTCTTCATTAATTTGTTCCCGGGGATTGGTTCCTGGTAATGGCGGTGCTGACCATTTAGGTGTATTTAGGATTCAAATTAATTTATAAAAGAGTATTCATGGCAGTGAGAGAGTGTAGGAAGCTGCCAGCATACCTTGCTCATTTTGCTAAGGCTCTCAAATGCACTGAAGTTCCTGATGAACCTGTTGCCTTTTGTTGGCACAATCTGAGTATTGGCCTCAATCTTCTTTTTTTCATTTGCCATTTGCATTTTCTTGGCTTGAGTTATTGGCGTGACAACTGGTAGATCATGCATCTTTCTTCTCTTCTTTGTTTTGCTTTGCACTTTTTTATAGTAGTTGTAACTAAATTCTTTTTCAAGGCATAGGGATGGTTTTATGATTGTGGCACTTCCTTGCTTTTTGTATATCTTCTTGCAGATATGGGAGTGGAGATAGATTGAGTCCTGAGCATGAGAGGACTATTCTTGAGAGGTTGCTTCCATACCATCCAGAATTTGAGAAAAAAATGGGCTCTGGAATTGATTATATTACAGTACGTCTCTTGCTTTAGTCACTGCCCATCTGATTATAGATGTAGTGAAAGCTTTTTTATTAGGCGCCACTTCCCTATATATACTGTTCTTTAGGCAAAACTATGATAGTAAGTTCTAAAAGAACTCTTCTATTAAGCAATTTAGACAAGTTTTCTTCATACTTTTCCAACAATTGCTTTGTGATTTTATAGCCTTGGGTAGAATCAGAAACTGCTGGATAGGTGTGCCCCTGAGTTCTTTTTCATTGCGTACTGAGAAGTATATGCAATCTGGAGAAGTATTTATGAACTAAAGAGATTTCTTTATTATAGTCCTAGCAGATACCAATAGCCTTCTACTTCACAAAAGTACTCTTTATAGTGAAACCAGAATATGATAGTGGCTGATTTTACATAAACTTCTGTTTGATTCACTAAGAGAAAGTTGGAATTCCTGCTGTACACAATTGCAGCTTCCATTTTTGTTTTATCCACCATGTTTCAATTATTGGGTCAAATTTGCTGTTTCTTTTATTGTTTCCAACCCCTTCTGGAGCCTCTATTGTATCAGTCAAATAGATATATCTTTATACTTCTAATTATTTCTGGGTTTGTTCCTTCCTCTCATTTCATCAAGCAGAATGAACAATATGTGGCATATGCATATAGTGTTCTGGTTCTAAAACTAGCAATATATATGACAGCTTGCACATCACCCATGTTGCTTTTTCCACATGGACTTATTCTGTATTTAAGGGTTATTGCTACCTTCATCGTAATTGTGAGATATCTTTTCATCACAATAGGCAGCTTTTGCTGTTGTGTCTTTTATGCATTTGATTGTTCTATTTATAGTTTTTGAGGAGGATGTCTTATTATCCGCATTTGTATTTTCTCCCTCTTGATTCCTGATAATATTTCTTTTTCTATCAAAAATTACCTTATTTTCCTTTTATTATCATGTATAAAACTGTAAAACTGTTACCTTTTTCTATCAAAGATGTACATACATGCAGTATAAATACCTGTAAGTACAAGAACAAATCATCGAAGCAGATACGGGTCATTTATTTCTCTCCCTATGTCTTTCACTCTCAATCTTCTTGTCTCTCTTTTATTCTATTCTTCTTGTGCTATTTCTCTCTTAACCCCAATTCTACACTTTCTCCAAATTTACCTCTGACTTGGTATTAGAGCACTCCTTAGCATCATGTGCGTCTCAGATAGTACTCGGGCTCAAGAAACCAAGAAAATTGAGGAAGTGGTAAAACAAGAAACACAAAGTAGTTGCAGATGTGGAAAAGAAAATGCATCTTGAATTACAAGGCATCAAGCAATTGACTATAAGTATGGGAAAAACCACGGCAGCTGAACTAACAATGAAAGAGCATTGCTTGACTGGACCTCCTAGAGAAATAAAAGCTGGTACGAGATGCGTGGACCCAAAATAGAATTTCCCAGGTTTGCTGGAGAAAACTTGTATCGATGGATTTATAAAGCTGAACATTATTTTGAAGTGGAAGCTGCACACCAGAAAGTAAGAGTTGCTGCTGTGTATTTGGAAGATGAGGCACTAGAATGGTATCAAATGCTCATGAAGAACAGAGAAAACCGAGGTTGACCTAGGTGGGTAGAATATGTAGGTCACCTTCACATCCAGTTTGGAGATACAGCTTGCTATTATGATTTGACTAAACTAACTCAAAATGGGTCCTGAAGGAATATTTTAAGGCTTTGACACCTTGGTGAATAGAATCCCCACTTTCTTGCTTCCTTGCAGGCTTTCAACCTGTAGTACAAGCTTTTGTAGGAACTGACTGCCAGTGAATGTTCGACATGCATACAGTCTTGGAAGATTGCATGATGAGGTTCTTGCAACAAGACTATTCTCAGTCCATATATCCAGTCAACCGTTATAATCCACCAAAAACCTATTAAAAAAAAAAACTTTGGTGCCACCTAGATCCACTTCTTGTGTACCACCAGAAACCATTCAAAAGCCCTGTTTATCCAACCAAGAACCCTGTTCTTCCTACCAAACCAGAACGCTGTACCAATTTACCTAATTGCGGTGTTGATCTATTCTCAGTGGCAAATACCCAAACAGAACCCTGTAAGTGCTAGAAAAGAAAAGGGTCCAGAGCTTAAGCTATTTTTGTGATGAAAAATACCACATTAGACACCGATGAAACACAAGAAATTAGTGATGGTGATAGTGCATGAACAAGAAAATGAAGAAGAGACTGACTGCAGTCCCAAAGAGGAGGTTGAAGAACATATACATGTGTACATTTCTGCTATCAATGGCTATGACAAGCCATAAAATACCACCACTGCAATGAGGGTAACTGGTACTTATGGAAAAAAAGTCATTAAATATTCTGGTTGATTCGGGCAGCAGCCATAACTTTCTAGAAGCATGGACTGCAAAGTACTTGGGACGCAAAATCAGTCCTACAAGAGCAATGCTGGTAGAAGTAGCAAAGGGGCTATGCAATTGAATGAAACACCTGCTGTAAAGAGTTCACATGGAAGATGCAAGGAAAAGAGTATGTTGCTGAATATTTTATCATTCTGTAGGAGGAACAGAAATGGTGCTAGGAATCAAGTGGCTGTATTTATTGAACAACATAGCCTGGAAGTTCAAAAGAAGGAAGATGGGTCAAGTTACAAGGACAATCAGAGGAGAACATCCAAGAAATACCCCAAGCAAAAATATCCAAACTGCTTCAGAAATAAAAAATACAGTGCACCTTTACTTTGTTCATGTTTTCTCTACAAATTCAGACTTGAATTAGAAAAAATCTAAGCGAGCTGTAGCCAGTTCTAGACTTGTTTCAAGATGTCTTTTCCGTACCTTGCCTCCTCTAAGGCCACCTGACCACAAAATTACCTTGACAGAACCCAACAAGACGGTAAACATCCATCCCTACAAGCACTATAGAGAACAAAAAGACACCATAGAAAAAATGTTCACAGAACTATTAGAATCTGGAGTCATCAAAAATAGCAACTGTTCATTTTCGTCACCAGTTGTATTGGTGAAAAGAAAGATGGAACATGGTGAATGTGTATTGACTAGAGGGAGCTCAAGAAATGGACCGTGGAAAACAAATTCCCAATTCCAATTATAGAAGAACTCATAGATGAATGAGGGGGATCCACCATCTTTCCAAACTAGATTTAAGATCTAGTTATCACCATATCCTAATGGCAGAAAAAGATGTCCAAAAAATAACTTCAACACATGAAGATCAATTTGAGTTTTTAGTCGTGTCATTTGACTTGACTAATGCACCATCAACGTTTCAGTTTCTCATTAACAGTATTTTCGGACCTATTTTATGCAAATTTGTCATTTTCTTCCTGGATGATATTTTGGTTTCTAGTAGGTCTTTGCAACACAAACAACATTTAACAGAAGTGCTCACCATTCTCTGAACATGTCATATATTGTTTACTTGTGCACCAGGAAGGAAATTAGTATCAAACAAGAAATAAGTGTCTTTTTTTTCATCATTACTGAGAACATGCTGGATCATTGTGTTAGGTTTTGAGAACTTTCTCCACATCAAACTAAGCTCATTATTTAACTAATTTTAATTAATTTGTCATTGAATGATAATTCTTGTCTACGATTGACAGGTAGGATATCATCCTGATTTTGAAGGCTCGCGATGTTTGTTCATTGTTCGAAAAGATGGAGAATTAGTTGATTTTTCGTATTGGAAATGCATAAAGGGCCTGATTAGGAAGAACTATCCCTTGTATGCTGATAGCTTCATTCTCAGACATTTTCGCCGGCGTAGGCGGAATGGGTGAGGGTAATATTCTCAAGCTGTCACGCCATATTGTTATTGTATGATGTCAATTTTTTGTTTTGTTCTTATATTTTGAAGTGTCTCATCTCCATTGGGCAAAATTATATGGTTGTAGAAGCAGTTGTTGCAGATTCTTGAAGTTGGGATTCTTGGGGGTAGAATTATTTTCCTGGAAGACAAAACCCAAGGCTGACCAACTGGGATTGGGGTATTTAATTCACACCAAAAAGCTCAGCTGTCTTTCACTCACTATTTTGCTGGATCTTAAATGATAGGGATAATAGTTTACTCATATTTCACTTTTGCTCAGCTGTTGCTTCTGCATATTGGCTGCCTCCCTCTCCACCATGGTCTTCCCCTCTCTTGCTTTCTGTGTGATAGATTTGGTCCCCAGCTACCTCCCTCCCTCTCTGTCTCTCTCTTTTTTTAATATTTGCCTCCAATCATGCTGAACATGCCTATTTTCCAGAGAACTATTTTAGCTCAAATGTTTGTGGCTTTGAAGTCAAGAGGTTGGCCCGAATTCTTTCTTCTGTTAGGAATATTTTATGAGAACAAACTGCCTATCTCCAGTTTATAAATTAAAATACAATTGTGACATGGATACATTTTCCTTCTTAACATGGATAGCAAATGTTAGCTGCCTATGTGAGGTGGTAATTATTGACTGAGACTATATTTTTTAACATCAGGTTTGCATGATTCAGAAAAAAAGAAAAAAGGAAAAAGAAAAAAAGGAGCAGATTTATATGGGGAAAATTTATTTTTATGATATTTTCTCTTCTAAAGCATGCACTGTCTCTTTTAGGGGGAAAAGAAATTGTTTTGTTTCGCTAGGGTAATTATGAGAATTAGGAGGGTTCTATAACTTAATTTGTCAACGCCACAGCTTCCGAAACTCTTCCTAGCAGTAGATGGTACCGTTACCCATGTTCTTTACGTATAGACTAGGTTCTTTATAATATAAAGCTCTACCAGCATCCTTAAAGATAGAAAAAGTCTGTCCTAACTCCATAAACCTGACTTTACTAACTTATAATATTAATTGACCTGATCACTTATCGAATAACTTGAACATTGAAGAACTCAATAAGTAAATGAGAATCTAAGCAGTCTAATGCTAAAAAGACTTCTTATTTGAAGACTCAGAAACCCAAAATATTACTGAAATCCGATAAGATTGATTCTCTCTTTCTAAAAAAGACTATAAATGTAATCACATCTCAAACCTATAGACAACATAATTTCACATGAGATGCAGAAAGACCTGGAAATTAATAATAATCCGAATAGAGAACCCAATTTCCAAGTGAACAAGAAATTGAATTTTAACATAAGAAACTTATTTAGTGATCCAATGAGTTGAATGACTGGAAACTTGATATGAGCAGAACCTGGTATGAGTCTAATGGATTTGGTATATCTACATTTTGGTGGGATGAAGTGATTGATTCACTCAGCATTTTGCTTCCAGATTATGAAGTTCTTAGGTGTATCTCCAGGGATTTGAACATACTTTTGTATCTACCGGTTCAGTGGAAACCGAACTTGAGAGGGACGCTAATAGTTCTGACAAGATTTGTGATCAGTAATCAAAGATTAATATCTTTTTTTATTAAAAGATCAATGATTAACATTTTGAAAGGATATTAATATGATATCCTGCAAGTCCTAGGATAGGAAGCTATGTACATATATGTAAATAGTTTATTCGTGAGTTATGAGATACATTTGGGAGTATAGTGGTTTATATTTTTTTTTATAGATGAGGATGAGGCAGGGTTATGTTTAGAGCGTCCGCGTTTTTCCTGAACTTGCAGGTCCGGCTTGAATCTAAGCTTTTGTTTATAAGATGTTTGCACATGGTCTTAAATTCATCAAACTCAGAATCCAATTTACTATTTCTTGATTCCTCCAGAAAAAAAACATAAATAAACCTAAAATTGTTGGATTGTCCTCGTGATCCTCAACACGTGGATGGTGTAATTGCTAAAGTTGCCTCCAATAATTTGTTCGACAGACAGGGTTATTATATCCTTTGGGTGATATAAATATATGGGTAGACACGTGTTTGTCTTGATGCAAAAATCCAAACCATCTTTGTTGCAACCTAATGGAATCATACACAATGCACAATAATACAAGTGAAAAAGCTTACACTTCGACAAAAGTACAGATGGTGAAAGGAGTTTTTGTCTTCTTCTAACATCAATAAGATCTTCAACTTCCCACTTAGGAGTTTGGATGAAAAGGACGAGTTACCTTCAATATTAGGGAATTCATACCAGACTCAGTCTGATTCCCTTTTTCCTTTTTTAAAAAGTACAAGATATTTTTATCCACTTCCAATCTCTTCAACAAGATAAATATTAATTATCGTTTCCAATTCATTGTGTGAAAAGTACAGCTTGTAGCAGCCCCATCATTCTATTGACTTTAAACCCAAGGAACCCTTATCCTGTTTACTGGTAGAAGTTAGGTGAAAGTCAGAGAGAAATTTCAAATCAAGACTTTAAACACTAAATATATTTTAAGAAAGAAAAAGCAAGACTGTATTGTCATCTTAATAAAAAGTCAACGGTCTTGCTCTGTAAACAGGAAGGTAATTTACACATGGGAATGACAGGAAAGAGGAAGGTAAACATAACACCAAGAATTATAGTAGTAAAATAAGTTTTCTTTTGTCAGCAAATGTGATGTAATTGCAACTGAATCCATATATATATATATATATAATTGGTTATAGATGAACACAATCCCCTAAATTTTTAGGTTATTATCTTTTTATTCTTTTTAATTTTATTTTAAATGTAATTATCTTAAATTTTTGTCATTACAAAAATTATGTATGGATTAGACAGGTTCTTATTTTAGATAGAAAGTGGTCCGTAACTGATAATTACGAACAAATTCTAGTGACAAAATTTCAAATCTTCTTTTAATGTAGTAACAGAATGAAAAGGTTACAAAACTAAAGTGTATAATAGTTGCAACACAAGTTTAAAGATATTATCTGTTTTGATATCAGCTTTTACTATTCTCAAAGATTTTCTCAATAACAACATATTAAATCTTGCACCCAATAAAAGATTTGACAACATATTAATTCTTTTGTCATTTGGAAACGAAGAAAAATTGCTAAGTGGTTGTGTATGCTGATGTTAATGAAACAAAATATATGTTAGTCCTAGATAGAAGGGCATGAGCTCAACTCATTTAATGGATTGGATTGACTGACCTCACATGTATAGATTCTCCTATTTTAGTGTAAATTTTAACATATGGTGATCTAATTCTGTTGACCACAAAATTTTATTTATATATACACATATATATATATGTGTGTGTGTGTGTGTTTGTATAACCAAGCTTACTTAGTGAATTACTTTATGCAATCATAGATACAATAAATATATAAATAGATTAAATATTTTTATTCTTATTTTTTCAAATTGGTGTCGACAGATTTTGTTTTAGTAAAAATTTTAATATGTCATCTTAAAGTAAAAGTAAAATAAAATTATAATTCACCAAAAAAAATATATGTATTCATACATAACTGATATCTAGTTTAACATATTTAAAAAAAAAAAGTATGTTAATGAGAATTATGCATCGTGCAATTAATACTTGATATGACATTAAAAATTGATAGATTTAATGATAAAAATTTCAGTTAAAAATTTTAATTTAATAGAGTTAAGCAATATTTAATACTACAATCTAATATTTAACTTTAACATCATGTTAATAGAAGTAATGTGTCGTTTTTTATATAATTAATAAACAAATTTTAAATTATAAAAAAATAATAAACTGTAATTTACGAATCTCCTACCTAATCAATATAAAAAAAAAAACACATACACACGCAATCCAATTGTTCTTGAGAGTTAGCATAGAATACAAACTGTAGTTAATTATGTTATGAATGTAATAAAAAATACTCTTTATATAATAAGACGACAATCAAATGATCAAGCATAAACCGACGCTTGCTTTACTACAAAAGAAGTGTTTGTGTTTGGTGTAATGAAAGTAACATATTGAATGGCACGCATCAAGATTCAATAAGGTGTAGATCATGTAGATGTGGAGTAGTTCCTTCTAATCATTGCTTGCTCCAAAGTTAAGAAGCAAAAGATATAAACTTACATGATCTTGAACCAATGTGACCCATGATATTGAACCAATGTGACCCAATAATTATTAAGTGTGTTTACATAAGTAAAAAAAAGTGACCAAGTTGAAGGTAATTGACTTTGTTTAATCTCTTACGAGTTTATATTTAGATAGTTAAAAAAAATGGTAGAGTTGTTTGGATCGTTGATTTCAAAAAAAAATTTAATAAAAATATTTAATTTTATTTACACACAAATATATTGTATAAAGAATAGTTAACGTAATTTTTTTTAGAACTAAAAAAAAATGTTAAATTCTTATTTAATACTGCAAAAGTTGAAAATCAGTTAAAAAGATATTAAAAATTAGAGATTAAAACTAAAATATAGCTCATTATAAGTTAATTATTAAATTTAAAATACTAAAATTTATTTAGTTAATATAAGTATTCTTAAGATAAAATTATCAATACGATAATTTAGTAGTTAAAATTTTTATATTTAATTTAAAAATTAAGAATTTAAATCTTATTAAATATTTAAAATTCATTACTTTACAAGTGTATTATACAGTGAAAGATATCGATCCATAATATTGATTCAGTGAGATTTAAAATTTAATTTATTAGTATATTAGTAAGATTACAGTGACTAATTTGAATTTAATTTCAGTGAATTATGATGTATTTAAATAAAAAAATATTTTGTAATAATTAAATTTTATTAATTAGTGAACATTTTTAATTTTTTTAAAAGAAAAATAATAAGATGGAAAAAGAAATTAATTAAAATAGGAATGATTGGTTGAATTTGGATATAGAATTTGATCCAATAGTGTTTAATTGGATTTGCAATTTTGAGATATAAAAAAACCATACAAAGGATAATATCTAATGATTAATTATGCCCAACCAACGACACTCGCCGCCCATTACTGTTACCGTTGATTGTCCGCAAAGCAACGTGGACCGATTGGATTTCTTCCACGTAATCTAATCCGGTTGGCTGAATTTCGCATCTCGAACTCCTCCCTCGTCCTAATTGGTCCACGTACCCTCTTATTAATTGTAATTTATTATTTAATATAAAAGCGAGGAATTAGGAAGAGACGGGTCACACTGGTGCCTCCAGGCTCCATCTTCCACCAACCAAGCCCTAAAAAGCCGAGAACCCATTAAAAATCTCACAAACTTCCACTGTCACTCTTCCTCTCCCCCCTTTTATTTTGAACTTCGGATGTATGTATGCATATCCTTTTCAAATTCGGAAATCCTTTTGGTTTAAGCAGTTTAATCTGTTATCCAAACATATCAATTTGGTTGCCTTTTGTTTTCTGATATTATTTTGATTATCTTGTAATCATTGGATTGGATCTGGTTCCACTCATTTGAGGGAATGGGTTCATGTTCATGTTTTTCCCGTGACTTCGTCTCCAAAATGTTGTAAGTTGGGTTTTTGGAGCCGTTAAGTTCATCGCCTTGCTGAGATTTGCTTGCTTTTGCTATGGATTTTGATTGGATATAACAGTGTTGACTTCTCGCTGATTATCAATACCAGGCTTCAATCAACTTCTTTTATGCTATGGATCTCATTGGTTTGTTTGGATTTTAAGAATCTTAACGCAACGGGACTCGTTACTTCAATTTCTACCTCAAATTAAGCTTTCGGTACTACTGTTCGATTCAGATTTTACAAAAATGGCAACTAATTTCAACTTGAAGAACTTCGGTAACGAACCGCTTGCCGACGGCGGCACTTCCGGTAATAGACCGCTGGCCAATGTTCCCTTGACCCGTCAACCATCCGTCTACTCATTGACTTTCGACGAGTTCCAATCTACCATA